CTCTCAGAATACAAATGTATGGTAGAGCCCAAGAGTGAACCAGGGAAGAAGTGACATTACAAGATGGCTGAATGGAAAGTCCCAGTGCTCCTTCCCCCATAGAAACTTCAATTTAACAACAATATATGGACCAAAATACTGTGACGAGAATTCCAGAATCCAGTTAAGATGTTGCAGTACCTGAGTGCAAAGCTGTGAACAGCCACATTCAAACGGGTAAGAAGAGCAATTTCACTTTAACTGCATCAGCCCCTCCTCTAAGCTGGCACAGCTCAGCAGTAGAGAATACCCTGGATTACACTTTTTACACTGGGGGTGAAGAGAAAATAGACGCTGCATCTGACATTCCAGCTCTTCAGAGGGCTACTGAGGGACTGGTATCTGTCTTGTCATAAAATGTCATGAAATGGCAACTGTCTCACCTAACCTGGGATGCTGATGGGGACTCATCATATGGTAGATATCTGGAGGCCTCTGAGAACAAGGGATAGCAGAGAATCTTGCTACTGCAAGTTCTATGGTTTTACAGTAGCAAGATTCTCTGCTATCCCTTGTTCTCAGAGGGAGCAAAAGATTATGAGTCCCTGGAAAAAGAAACCAGCAATACTAATTGAGAAATTGCACACACGAGGCTCAGAGAATTTGCATCCCCTTCCCTCCAAAAAAGGGTTAGGGAGGCCCCCAGAATCTCTAGTCAAGCTGATTAATAAACCTTCTGCACAAAGAGCAAGTTCCTAAAGGCTATGAAAGGTGGCTGTTATTTCAAATGTGCCAATCCTAAAACGAAGTTATGGGACACATGAAGAAACAGGGCAACATCGTCCATACAAAGGAATAAAATAAATCAGAAACTTATCTTAAAGAAATAGAGGTATATAAATTACATGACAGAATTAGAATAACCATTATAATGATACTCTATGAGATCAAGAAAATGATGCATAAACAAAATGAAAATATCAACAAAAAGATAGAAAATATTTAAAAAGAACAAAATAGAAATTTTGGAGCTAAAGAATACAATAATTGAACTAAAAAATTCAGTAGAGGAGTTCAACATCAGACTCAATTAAGCAGAAGAAAGAATCAGTGAACTTGAGGATGGGTCACTTGAAATTATTCAGTCAGAAGAACAAAATGAAAAAAGAATGAAAAAGGGTGAAGAAAGCCTGAGGAACACATGGGATATCATAAGAAAATCAATATATGCATCATGGGAGCCCCAGCAGCAGAAGAAAGAGAATAAGGGACAGAAAGCTTATTTAAAGAAATAGTGCCCCAAAACTTCCCAAAAATGGGGAAGAAAATGACATCCATATTTAAGAAACCCAATGAATTCCAACCATTGTGAATCCAAAGAAATCCACACTAAGACACATTATAATCAAACTGTTAAAAGTCAAATACAGAGAAAATTTCAACAGCAGCAAGAGAAAAGCTAATCACCATGTGCTAGAGAAGTTCCGTAACAATACCAGTGGATTTTTCAGCCTGAACTCTACAGACAAGAAGGCAGTGGTATGACATATTCAAAGTGCTAAAAGGGAAAACTTCCAACCAAGAATACTATATCTGATAAAAAATGGGGGACTTCAAAAATGAAGGAGAAATAAAACCTTCCCAGGTTTTAAAAATAAAGCTGAAGGAGTTCGTCACCACTATATCTGCCTTATAAGAAATGCTAAAAGGAATCCTTCAAGTTCAAACAAAAGGACACTGAACAGCAACACAAAAACATATGAAAGTATAAAGCTTGCTAATAAAGCTAAGTATATAGACAAATACAAAATACTGTAATGGTGGTACATA